TAGTAAATGTTAAATAGTGCTAAATAAATAGTAAATATAGTGAATTAAGATCTCTTTGAAATAGTTTACTATAATTTCATAAACATAAGTAAATTTAGGAAAGTAGGGAGTTTTATTTTAGAAAATATTTTAGTAAAACCAATTTTTAGCAAGGTTTGTCATCAAGCTTCTCCTGAATATGGTTTTTCATTTAAACATCTTTTTTTGCCTTTTTACTTTAAGATGAATGTTTCAATCTTAAGAAAAATTCCTCAAGGATTACTATATCTAGACAGGCTTTGCAATAGTTTTAAATTCTACTATCATCTCTCTAAATTAAAACACACCACATCCCTCTTCTTTTTACTGTTTTAAAAGTTTTAAAAAGTATTAGAGAAAATACAATTCTATGGAGGCTAAATTCTTATTAAGTATACATCGAAGTTCATCTAGCTTAACAGATATCTAATACTTTTTTGAAAGTGAATATGCTAATCACTTTTCCATATGCTAAATTGCAAAATTTCCTTAACAGTAGCATACCTTAATTACATAGAGTTTAAATGAGTTAAACTATGTTTTAGTTTTCTCAAGATTGTTATAGTTCCATTCTTATCCCCACATTCCTTAGGTTAATTAAAAACAACAATATAAACTTAATTTACCAAAGATAAATAATCTTAAGCACCATAAGATTCTTCCCCCAAAATTTAATTCCAAACATGCATAGCAATTTGAACATTAATTCAAATGGAGAGATAAATAGCTTTAATACTTCTTACCACATGCTCATATCAACTATGAATCAACATGTATTAAATAGAAAGTGCTACTGAAATAAAAAAAAATACCTTAGCAAATAGAATTGCACCAAAAATTTAGAATAAAACAACAAAAATATAATGAGTTCCATAAGAAAAGTGCAAACTGAGCCAAAATAAATTTAAGTAAATAGTAAGAGTGAAATAACATCCAATGCACACAACAAATAATGTCACTCATCCTCCTACTCATTATCATTTTCCTAATCTTCATCTTTTCCTCTTCATCAGCACCCTCCTCATAATCCTCATTAATAAGTTGATGGGTGTGCTCGTGGGGCTGGTAAGGAGAATACACTGAAAATTGAATGGAATTGTCTCCTCCAATCCATAGATTTCTTCGATACATCTCCAGCTACTGCTTGGAAGCTAGCAAATTGATCGAATTGGCTTTAATTTTCGAAACCATATGTGACGTATGATCAGCTAAATCATAGATAGCTATCTAAATGATAGAATCATTACTCTCCAGCCTACCCAATCATTCTGACATAGAAGTTAAACTAGTGGAAGGACGTGGCTTGGAGCAGAAAGTAGAGGGCTGAGAAGAATTGGCCCCATGCCAAAAAGTAACATGTTTACTATATAAGCTCAAGTTGGTTTTGGAGATAGGCTTCAAAGGATGAATTTGCTCATCCTACTCCCAAATGAAACACTAGAACTCTGGGATAGGGAAAAGATATTAGATGGGTGGTCTAAACCAAGAGTAGATTTCCCCTTTGTAACATTAAGAATAGAATGATGAATGAGAGAACCAATGTCAATCTATTTAATAGTCTGTTCTTGAGCTCCCACATATTGGTTCCACCTACACCTCACTTACACTCACAACCTCAACCCTTAACCTAAACATCTGAATACAAAATCTTAGAGAGGCTCTATCCCTAGTGAAGTCCCTCAGATTGGTAGAGGGAAGCAGCTTGGTAGAAATGAAGTAATGTCAAGCCTTGGAAGCTGTATTTTGCTCTGAAGAAGGAAAATTGATTTTATTTTCATTTCTAACTTTCCATATCCCCTTAACTTCTTTTGGAAACCAGATAATTTCATCCAAGTCAAAATCTATAACAGTGAAGCTGGATTAAAAAATCTTAAGGACATCACTCAATTAATATAACAAATTAATACGAGAAGGAGAGTAGTCTACCATCTTCTTTCTCACGAAAACTAACCCATTGTAAGCCTCCAAATGATTGGATTAAAACTCCCTAACAACATGAATCGCGGTTGCACCAGTATTGCAACTAAAATCCTCCTAATGCCGACTTACAATCATACTCTCAATAGCACCCCCACATCATATGAATCCATGCTCAACAATCAACTTCTTTGATACTTAGAAGTCATTATATTGCTCCTCAGCTTTGGAGCTCACAAAATTCTTTTTATCAAAAGAAGATTTTGATTTCCAACCATTAGTTTTTAGGGCCATTAAATTATGCAATACATTGTGATTAGAAAGGGTAGGAGTAAGAATATGGGTGCAACAATATGCTAATCAAGAAGATAATTAAACTACACAAAATTTTTCCAAAGCTTTCTAACCCTAGCTCCCTCCTCAAGAAAAATCTAAGAAATTAGATGAAAACAGAAGGAATGAATTCAAGGAGTGAAATTTACCTTTGAGAGGTGATTTTAACCCACTAGTATCCCTTGGATTAAAGAAATTTGAAAGGATCCTAGATGCCCTACGAATGCTTTCTCTGTCATCGAAGAACAACAGGGAGAAAAAAATCACAAAAAAGTCTGAATCAAACCAATTTCAGCTTAATATTTATATAGATAAAGGGTTGGCTCTTAGGCACTTCTTACCCAATGAGATAGTGCTTAGTTGCCCAAGTGGCAATGACTAAGTGCCAGCGGCAGTGGCGCCTAAGAGCCAGGGGCAGTGGCGCCTATTCGCCTAACTCAACTTTGGCCATGGTCACTTAGTATGCATAATTTGCCCCCCCTAAATCACTTAATCTTCCTAAAATCTCTCCTAATTAATCACAACACTTTAAAAAAACACAAAAATATAAAAACAGGCACAAAAAAATAACGCACATAAACAAATTGGGGTTGTCTCCCAAGAAGTTCTAGTTTTTTGTACTCAGCCTGATAGTGCCAGATATTTGAATTAGAATTACCCAAAATCAAAACATTCTTTAACCTATGTCTCTCTCCAACTACGTATGGTTTATGTCTCTATCTATTAACTCTAAACAATCTACCACTCTTAAGATCTTCAACATCAATTACCCTAAAAGGATACACCTTTCCTATAGTAAATTATCTCGGTAACCTAGATTTTATTTTTTTGGGAATAATTTTGATCTTGTATAGTACAATAAAACCTCCTATTTAGGCTCAAAATTTTTTCTAAGATGTTCTTATCATGAAATCTCTTCATTTTCTCTTCATATATTTTGGCATTTTTTAAAAATTCTTGTTTAATCTCATCAAATTCATTTAAGTATAGCAAATGTTTCTCACCAGCCTCGTTCATATTATAATTAAACAACTTAATAGCCTAATATGATTTGTTCTCCAATTCAACTGGCAAGTTAACAAGCTTTGCCAAATATGGGCCTAAATGGAGACATTCTTATAGGTGTTTTATAAATAGTCCTATAGCACAAAAAACATCCTCAAGTCTCAAAGCCCAATCCTTTCTGTTAGGATTGACAGTCTTTTCTAAACTTTTTTTGATCTCCCTATTAGAAACCTACGGTAATTCATCTATCTGGGAATGGTAAGTTGTGGATATCTTATGTTTTATACCATACTTTCCAACTAATGTCTCAATTAGTCTATTCCTAAAGTGGCTCCCTGACCCGACCCGCAATTACACAATTATTTCATTTCAAAGCTACAACCAAAAGCTTCACCAAATTTATATTTAGTGGGAAAAATTAAATATTATATAAAGATGATAAAAAGGATTTACACACTATTGGTACTACACTAGTATATGTATCGTTTCATGCAATATAAGATTTTTTGTATAAAGGACATTGACTAATTCAGAGTTTGGTCCCTCAACCCGTTGTTAGGCTGGGAAGATACTAGCTCTCATTCTAAAGTTTTCACTTCCCCTCCCCTGAGAGCTAACATCTTGCTTTAGTTTCCCAACATTTGGACCAAATTGGAGATTTTAGTGTGTCACCCTAAAATCTTCAATTCTACGCTCTCAATTCTACGCTCATCAATTCCCTATTTATTTGCTCTTAACCTCATGAACTACATTCTCATCCATGTGATTAAATGTTATTTTTACTATATTGGAACATAGCCCATTAGAAATATGTTCTATTAAGATGGAATTTTTTCCTAACATATCAAAGGCCTTTGAAATGTGAACAAAGTTGCTGAGAAGTTATGCAAGAAATATTAGAATTTATCGTCTTATTTTTTAAATAAAAAAATATTTATACAAATATATAAGATAATAGCAACTATCAAAGGCATGGGCCCTTTTATGTGAAAATGATAGAATTATTGGTCTGACACTGCTGAAATGATTTTATGATATAAATCATATTTTGTAAAGAAAGTTATTTCCGGAGAGTGAACTTACAACCTGAAGTTCATGCTTAATATAGTCATCGACAAGAGCATGCATATTAGTAATAACTCTCATACAAAAGTGATCTCATGCATATGAAATTTAGACTTTAAATCATAAGTCTACGCAACATCATCAATCCATTCATATTTGCGCTTTTCACAAATAGACTCAATATTGTAATGTTTTTGCTTATTTACTCTTCTAAAACAATTAAGAGAAGCTGTCTTAAGATTTTCTCTTTCAGTTTTGTAAAACATGTATTGACAACAAATAGGGAAGAAAAACTTTTATGTTCATATTTACTTGCTTAAAATTGCAAGATATTGTTGTCAATACATCCGTAGGGAAAAAAAACACACACAATGTATGACATCCGTAGGAAAAAAAAAACACACACACACAATGTATGTCCTACCCTCCCTAAATCAATCTGTTCTACATGAAAAAAAAAATCGAAATCACAATGTTTATTAAGATAACTGAAATCACAAAAATTGATAAGGGATTGAAGGTATTAAATTATTAAACATATGATCACAATAATCAGAATAAAAGTAGACATTAGAATTTAAATTTTCCAAAATAGAATATATGGCATCCCTATCTAGATGACTATTATCCTCCACACAAAAAACATAAACAAGGCCCTTTACCTCAATCCAGCTACACCCAGGATCTTTCTTCACAGCCAACCCCCTCAACCTCTTCCTGACCTTCATAACCTCCTCCCATCTCCCCAGCCTGGCATATATGTTAGACATAACCACATGAGTAGATATGTGCTTTGAGTCCAAGCATAGCAGTCTCCAAACAACCCTTTCTCCCACTTCCAAATCCGTGAAAAACCAACAGGCATTCAACAAAGATCCCCAAATTACCCCATCAGCTTCAATTGGCATACCAAGGATGACATCCTCAGCCTCTCTTATATGACCAGAACGGCATAAAAGCTCGACGAAACATGTGTAATGCTCCACCGTGGGTGCCAATCCATAGCATTTCTCCATGGAACGAAAAAACTCCGTTCCTTCGTCCACCATCCCCTCGCGACTACAAGCCATTATAAGCCCCACAAAGGTCACCACATTGGGCTCAATACCATCCTTGAACATCCTCCCAAACTCCAGCACAGCTTCGGTTCCTGATCCATGCTGTGCAAGACCATTGATAAGTGCGGTCCAAGAGGCAACGTTTGGCGAAATAATCTCACGAAAGGAGGGCTTAGCATCAACAATGCTGCCACACTTAGCATACATATCAACAAGGGAAGTTCCAACATAAACATTGGAGTAAAATGGTGATTTGCACAATTGAGCATGTAGCATCATTCCTTGTTTGAGAGTGCCAATGGAGGCACAGGCACGGAGCAAAGCTGAGAAAGTTGAGCGGGTTCTTGCTATAGATGAGCGCTGCATTACTGTATATAGCTTCAGGGCCTCCACCGGTTCTTCGTTCTGAACATAACAAGATATCATTGAATTCCATGTTACAGTGTTCTTCTCTTCTTTTATGGTATCAAAGAGTCTCAGAGATTGCTTGAACTCACCGGCCTGGTGGTATATTGTGATCATGGTGTTCAGGGATACAATATTCTTGCAAGGCATTCTTTCAAAAAGGTTTTGGGCATCAGCCATTCTTCCCACATGTGCATAGGCTTTGATCATTCGGTTGTACGAATAAAGGCAAGGGTTCGATGTTCGGTGAAAAATATAATCAGCATCGGCAATTCTACCTACTGATAGAAGGCCAGAAATCAATGCTCCTGAAATTGCCGAGGTCGGGGTCGACATTTCTTCATACACCTCATAAGCATACTGCACGGCATTACAGCTGCAGTAAAATTCTATGAGCGCTCCCCCTATTGATGGGTCTGATTCGAAGCCGCATCTGATCACACAACCATGAACCATCATCCCGAAATGGAAAGATTCAAACTTTGAACAAACTCTCAAAATACTATCATAAGTGAACTCATTAGGCGTTGCCTCGCTGCTTCTAATGAGAAGCACAAATAGCTCCAAAGCCTTGAAAAGGTCAAAATCAGAGATACTCCCTGAATAGCCAGAGATAACAGCGGTCCAAGAAACAATATCTCTGCTCGGCCAAGGGCTTCTCCCATCATATTGCATCTGACAAAACCAACGAGCATCAAACTCCACAGCAGAGAATTTCGGCAGCACAGCGACTCGAACAGCAGCAAGGCATTGTCGATTTGAAAGCTGAAGGTGTATAGATTGAGCAAAGAACTGCCGACAAACTTGAAATCCTCAGATCCGGACTTGAGGACGAGGCAATGCAGCTGCCTGCCGAACCCAACAAAGCCGGAACGGGCGCAGGAACTGAAGGCGGAAGAGAAGGTTGTTTCGTTGAGCGTTGATTCGCTCCTGTGCATGCAAGCAACGATGGCGAGCGATTCTTCGAATCTGCCCCATTTGGAGAAGCCTGAGATGATGCAGTTCCAGGATACCACTGTTCGGTCGGGCATTCGATCAAATAAATGGCGAGCAGCATAGAGATCTCCAAGATTAGCCAGACGACTTATTTCAATGTTAGATTGAATGATTGTTTTTATGATATCATTGCTTCGTAAATTCTTCTTGGTGGCTTCTGGACGGAAGAAACGCGGGGAATAACATTTGCATAGATTTGTGGGAGAACAAAGAGACATAACCTTCTGTGTCGGGTTTATAGAGCATATCGTTGAAGGCGCCGCATTATGCCCGTCGAGTCAAGACCTATCCGCATATCGCGCGCTGAAAAGAACATGCCCTCAAATTCTTTGATTTATTCGAGTTTCCAGTGAATCTCTAACAACGCGAAAAATTATTAGGCGTGAGATTTATACATTCAAATTTTATTATATTTCGATTGACTTGGTTATATTCGTTTAAAATATCATGAAATTCACATTTTGCACTCCATACCTGATAATTGCTTCTCTAACAGACCATTGCAATCAGAAATTGGAAGGTAATATGTCACATCTCTGGAGGGAAGGCAGCAAGATACAAACATGATGAAATTAGATTTTACTTAAAAATTAGAAGTAAATCTTCCATTTGAATTAGATATAATGACAATTGGATTCTCGTGCAATTACATAAAATTATAACTTAAGAGTATTGCTAGTTTTTTCATTGAGCAATTCTCCTTTATTGTGAGGAAATGAGAAATCTTCGTGAGTTTGTCAACCACAACCAAAATGGCATCATGATCTTGTTTTAGAGTATGTTTGGGGCAACTGCAGATTATTGATAATTGTTGATAAGTAGTTGTTCAAGATAAATTGTTGATCAGTGCCCGGATAAGCTGGTTGTCTGTTTAGTTCGTGCGTTTGGAAAATAACAAATTTTCAGTTGTTTCTGATCAAATGATCATTATACCCCTATACAGTAATATTGTTTAGCATAAATCAGAGAACAGTTTAGCATAAATCTAACAACATATACTCAACATAGAGATAATTTTAGATTGTCAAATTAAAACAATGACAACAAATAATCAATTCAAATAAAATATACTCCTATTTAGCATGTCTAATTCAGGCATAAACTTCAAATATTAAATGAAAAGTTAATTATCCATTTCCCCTCACATCTAGAGCTGTTCGGTGTCCTTCGATCAACAGTTACCTCCATAGAGAAAAAAAACATCTCCAGGATCATTTCCTGTGACTCGCCATCGATCTCCAACTTCAGCATCAGCCCAGAGCTCACCCTCTGCTGAACGACACCTAACACTTAAATAGCGCTCCTTGTAAATGAGAAGTAGAGCACCTGGATTGATGTTAGCAAGTGCGACGATGGGGGCAGTGGCAAGGACGAGGGAGGTGGCGATCTAGTGCAACGATAGAGAAATAAAATTGGGGCAGTGGTGCCGACGAGGGCAAGCGCGACAGCGAGGGCACAGAGGTAAGATTTTAAATTTAAACGCACACTGCAGGGTTTCACCCGCGACCGGTGTTTAGTAGAAATGAAATTGTGCATATCGCGATAAGCTGCTCGAATAGAGAAACCAAATGACTGAGCCACATTTTGAAAACACGTAAGCTGATAATAAGCTATGCAAAATAACCCTCTACTCTTTGCTAGACAACAATTTAATGTAGTTTCTCAACAATGCTATTAATATAGAGGAGACTTTCTTCGCTCAAAAAGCTACAAAAACTCATTTTCTTGATGGTGACAAGAATTTTGGCTATTACCATGCTTATTTTAAAAGTCCAAGAAAGAATAATATGATCTCCAAGTTTTTTAGCAATGACAAAAAAATTCTTCACAGCCTGAATGATATTGTTGCTGATGGAATTAATTACTTCTCTAATGTGTTCAGTAGTGATGGAATCCTTTTCTTAGGATTAATTCGACTCTTTATAATACTTCCACTGCGCTTAATAATACACTTCTCACTTGTGTTCATAGTCATGAAGAAATTAAGGATATCCTTGATAAAATGAAGGAAGAGTGGTTGACACTGATGGCTACACAATTGTGTTTTATAAAAATAGTTGGGAAATAATTAATATTAAATTGGTGGAGAATATACAAGACATCTTTCAAAGTATGGATTTATTGAACAATTTTAAATTTTCCAACATTGTCTTTATTTCTAAAGTGAATAATGTTGCTTCGTAGAATTCATTCATACCAATTAGTCTCAATGTTGTTGTCCTAAAATTATTTCTAAGATCCTGGTTAAGAGACTTCAATCATTTCTTCCAGACATAATTTGTCCTAATCAAACTGCTTTTCTTAAGGATAGGAATATCTATGATAATGGTCTTACTGTTCAAGAGCTTCTTATGGAAATAGACAAGAAAGGAAGAGGGTGAAAAGTGATATTCAAAATGAACATAAAAAATGCTTTTGACACTATCAGATGGGAATTTATTCTTGATATTCTTCATGCAAGATTTAATGTTGATTCTGTAATCTCATTAATAGAATCCTTAGCAACAATTTCTATTCTTTACTTATCAACGGTAATAAGTGTGGTTTCATCAAAGCCTCTAAAGAAATCATGCAGGGAGATCCTCTTTGTCCCAACCTCTTTATTATTGTTTTTGATTATTTATCAAAATCCCTTAATGATCTGTATGTTAAGTACCCGAGTATGCATTATGTTCATAAGGGTATGATTAGTATCTCTCATTTATGCTTTGCTGATGATTTGATTCTTTTTATAACAACCAACAAATGTTCTATTAAGAGTTTGGGAGGAAATTAAGAAGTTTCAGGATATCTCCAGATTGAACTTTAACACTTCTAATTGCTTTTACTATTGTTCAAAAAGTGTTTATGCTTCAAAGATAATTGGATTATGGATATTACTAATTGGAATAAGGTTTTTTGCCTTTTACTTACCTTGGATTCACTATTGATAAAAGTAAGAAAATGATTGTTCTTTGTTTGAGTTTGTTTGAGAAATTAAAGATCATGATTCTGACTTGGAAAAATAAATTTCTTTCCTTTAGGTTGAGAATCTCTCTTCTTAATAGAATCCTTACCTCTCTTCCTCTTTAAACTTTGAAAGTTATGAATATGCCTTTGGGTTGTATTAAAAAGTTGGAAAATCTTTTCAATATTTTTTTGTGGGATGACAATGGAAGGAACAATATTCATTGGAAATGCTAGGTAATGCTTTGCAAACCTATTGATAAGGGTGGTTGTGGTTTCAAGAGCTTATATGATTCTATTAAAATCAACTATATGAAGTTAAAAAATAGATTTTGTATGAATAGTTACATTTGGGCCTCCTTATTGAATGTTCAATACTGTAATAATATGCATCCTTTATCTATTACTCATACTAAAATTGATTCTTTTATTTGGCATGAAATGTTGAAGGTTGCTAAGCATGCTGAATATTTGCATTGTTGGGATATTGGCAAAGGGGGCTGTTACTCTTGGTTTGATGATTGGATGGGAAAGGGTGCTCTAATGGACTCTTATGGTGATCCACATGATGTTAATACTAAGGTTAATGATTTGTGGCATGAGAATCACTGGATTGAAGATGTTTTGATTCAGTTGGTTCATCCATATGATGCTAATTTCATTATTTATATTCCTAGTAATAGTGAGAAGAAAGATGTGCCTAAAGTTAAAGGCATTATTGGGGATTCTCATTCTAAATGTTTTTCTAAACCATTTCAATGTTTTCAGGGGTTGGATCTTAGTTGGATTCTGAATCCATGGGTCAAGCCTTACATTTTCCTCTTTGTTTAGAGTGTTTTTCATAATATCATTCCTACTGATGAAATACTTAAGATGAAAGGGTTGAGGATCCCTTCTTGATGTGTTCATTGCAAAGCTCACGTGGAAACTCTTTCTCACATTTTTCGTAATTGCAGCTTTGCTAAAGAGATTTGGAAATAGGTTTCTTCAAAACTTCTCATTAATAAAAATTTGGATAACAATGATAATACTTTTGATATTCATAATGATTGGAAAAGCTTTGGACATGCCTTTTTTACTAATTTTCCTTCTATTATTCTTTGGTTTATTTGAGTGGCAAGAAATAATGATAATTATAATGCTGAGGCTTCTAATATTTCACATACTTTAGTTATGATTCTTAATTACCTAATTAAAAGCCTTAATTTTATTTCTATCAAAGGAAAGCCTTCTAGAAGAATGCTTATTTTATTTCAAAATTTGAATTTACCTATTGTTTTAAAAGACAAGAACAATCAAAAAGTGGCTTGGTGTAGACCTATTTCTCCCTTCATTAAGATCAATACTGATGCCAGCTAGAAAACTAACTTAGCTAGTGTTGGAGGTGTTTGCAAGAATTTCTTGTGTTCTATTATTTACTGGTTTGCAGTTGCAGCTATTCTTGTTTCCCCTCAATTTGTTGAGGCTAATGCTTTGGTTTGTAGTCTGATGGTGGCTAGAATATTTGATTGGAAACATATTATTTTTGAACTTGATTTTTTAATTCTTTGGAAGTGTTGTAGGTACAACATTGATTATCATTGGAGTATTAATCTCCAAATTAAGAAAATTAAGAATTTGAGTATCGTTTGTTCCCGTATTAAAAGACAAGGCGATGTGGTTACACACTGGGCTGTTAAGGTTAGTTCCAATTTGAACTCTACTTTTATCTCTAAAGTGATTTATGTAGATCTACTTCAATTGGCTATGAAAGACTTGTTTTGATGGGTTCTGCTTCTATACTGTGTTTTTTCTTTGTGCTTCTTTTCAGTTTCTTTGTTGGTGCTTTGGTTCTTTTATTCCTTTGTTTTGTGTCCTTATTTTGTAGGTTGTGTGTGTGGGTTGTATTTTCTTTTCTTGGGAGAGGAACTTTAGGTTTTTATTTTTTTAAGTGATTTGTAGGTGGTGTTAAGAGGTTCCTCCAGCCATCTTTTGTATTTCCTTTTTATTGGAATAAAATAAGCAGTCGTTTAATACTCTTTTACCAAAAAAATTAATCCCTTTCCACTTACACTCTAAAATATGGAGAGGCTACAATAAAACTCTATTTAATCGATGTTTTGCCATGAACATTTAACAAGTCAGCTAATAATGACAAAATTTGACACAGACTTTATCATAACATGCCACTGGAAAACCATACAACCTTGATATATTTATTTACTTCCTATAAAAACAAGATATGAAGTATAGTTATCTCAAATTATCACAAGTCAAGTGCTACCTAATTTGGAACACATAATTGACATTTAAAACACAATGTAGCACTTTGGTTGATGGTGAGTTCGAGTTACAATTCATCCTGAACTTGCTCCATAAGTTCTAGTAGGTTTTTATTTTTTATTTACACTATATAAATTTGATCTATTATTATGGGCTTAATATCCATGTGATATTGTTGAATATTTGTAAGATGTATGGTCTCGTATTGTGCGTGAGTGCATACAACCCGGTAAAATACTTTGTATTGTCGATAAAGAAAGAGAGAGAGAGAGATGAATGAGAAACTTGTGAGGGAATCTTAGGAAATGTATTAAGTCCTTACCTCTAGTAAGTTGGAAAAG